CTATTCCAGTATGTTGCTATTGAAGAGCAAGAACTTGTAGCTTTAAAAACCCTGGAAGAGAGCCATAGACTCCTGGCTGTAGGTCCTAAATATTTAATTTTGTTGCTTATAGTAATTTTTCTTTTCTAAGGCTCCCATATTGATGGGAGGGCACTTGGATTTTTGTGCTCAAAGTTATCAAAAAAAGAAAATAAAAAAAGAGCCTTTACTATTTTTTTAAGAAGTAAGTAAGTTCTCAATTCATTTTTTAAACTCTGCCACATACAGAATAAATACTTGTATAGGGTAAAGGTCTCATGTGAATTGGTCCGTAGTGTTCTGTAATTTTTTCATGTTTAAGGATTTAAAGATGAAATTACTGACTGCTCTGGACAATGCCCTGTCTCAGATCACATGCAATATTATCAGTTCTCTTAAATTTGGTTATTATGCTGTTCTACTGTAGAATACATCTTCACATGAACATCTATATTCTGATTTTACATATATATATGCGCTGACTGATATAGATTCTGGGCAAATCAAGGTGTTTTCTTGAATTCCAATGGTTTATTTTCTCCCCAAGCTTTAAATCAGTCTTCCTTAAACTGTTGATTACAGACTACATATTGGTATAGTATCTCCCATATTTAGGAGAATTTTTACATGCTAAATAGCATTTGAATTGCCCAGCCACAAACTGGAGCTGGGCAGAAGAAAGTGAAAACTCCACAAAGACTCAGGCTAAGAAAAAGCACTTTCTAAATGCTGCCTTCTTTTTTGTGTGCTTTTCCATCAATTCTTTAAAAACATAATTTATAATTTGAAAAATCCAAATCTCCCTTTGTCAGGTCAATGAAAAAAGAAAACTTAAATCCAACTGCACTAAGGAAGGATTTAGAAAATCAAATGACGGGGAAAACCCCTCGTTCTTACTCAACTAACCCTGCTGTTGAAGCTGTGATGTTTGCTAGAAGCCTTAGTGTGCTCTTAGTGTGATATTAGAAAACATTTCCTTTAATGCCGTCATTCACTGCTGCTATGGAAGCCAGCAGGCTCACTAGCAAATCCACCCACTATTATTTTTGCCCTATTGAAAGCTCTACCTTATTAGCCATAATCAAAATGGCTCCTGTGCAATGTGAAGAGCAAGTGGGTTTTACCATCACTCATGCCAAAACTAAGTATGGATTAAATTGCATCCTGCCAGCACAAAGTGTGCATTGTGTAGCTTTGTGCTGCAGCACCCTACCTCGGCTTTCTCCATGCTTGATAAAACACTGTGCTCCCTTCAATACCTTCTTTTCTAACAGGGCAAAACAAAGCAGCAGTGTCTGCACTGGAATGTGCTGCAGGTAGTGATCTAAGCCTCCATCACTAAAGTCAGTGAGAGGATTAATTTAATGCATGAAGGTTGTTGGTTGGAGGGACTTCACAGGAATGCAAACTGAAGGCCGTCAAAGAGCCCACAACAAAGAGAAAAGCCGTACAATCTCAGCCTCCTGGTAGGATGAGGATCACTACATTAACAGCTTGTCTACCTTGTAGAAAAGGCAGGAAGCACTGCTGTACGGATGAGCAGCACAAGCAGGGAAAACACTCTGGGGTGTTGTTTTTTTCTGTAGACTTCTTCTAGAAAGACAGTTGGCTAGAAAATTGCAGCCTTGCTAATGACATTTATATAGTATCTGATATGATCAAGTGTCTATTCAAGTTTCATGGTCACATACTCAATGTTTTTTTAGTTGTATTTTGTTTCCAGATAAAGCAGAATAAATACTTGGTTTTCAATTCCTGTTTTCTTTTCTTAAATTTTTTAATTTTTGTTTTTGGCAGGGGTGCACCATTGTGATCCCAGCAGTGCTGAGAGTCACCAAGCTGTCTGTATTGGCACAAAATGGACTACCAAATATGCCACGTGCTGGTTTGCAGACTTCCAAGTGTTTAAGTGCTCCAGAAGGATGATCAGGTGGGATACGGATGTGGACTGCTGCCATTTTTGACAGCTTCAGCAGAAGAGGAGTCTACTCAGGAGTGCAGCGCATGGGCACAGTTGTATAAAGAGACCTTGCTATCCTTGGAAGGTGGTCTGTGGGTAAGCTCTGAATTATGTACTTAAAAGACAGAAATAACAGCAATACCAGATGAGAACTAACATGAAATTTGGTAGACTAAACTAACGACAGGGACAGAGCTGCTTTCAATTTCTCTCAAATTTTCCCATAAAATCCCATAGTGCTATAAATTCTCCACCACAAACAACCTGGCTTTATGTTACCTACCATCCTCATCTGGATTCAGTTTCCAGTCACTGCTTCTTACGTCTTTTCCGTAAGAAGTCATGTAATTGTACACAATTATCAAATTACTCTTTTGTCTCAGTCCTCTACTCTTGTCAGTCAAACCCTGCATCCCTTCCTTAATCACTAAATTGTACAACATCCTATTTGAGTAACACTTTCCTGAATCTTTTCAACATATAGAACTTCTGGACAATGTTTGGAAAATGTCCTGGAATCATGGGTAATCAGGCTTCTTTGTCAGTATTCTCTAATTCCATCTTTCTTTAACTGAGGTTTGAAACCGCTCCTGGCTGCTGCAGTGCAACTGCAGTTGCTCTGTTGGTAATAATCAGAGGCCATGATTAAGGCATATTTTCTGTTTCAGAAATACAGCTACTCTGATTATTTACACATCTGTCTTGTCTGAAACAGTCTACTGCATGGAGTACTTTGATTTCTTTTAAGACATTATACAGACAGCAGTGGGTGGTGCTTTCCAGCTGTTTTTTTTTTCCTTTCTTGAGAAGCAAGGTTCTGAAAAGATTTAGAGGCCCTCTGATTTTAGAGATTGATGCTAACTTACTGCTTCTTCAAGGCCCTTCAGCTTGAAGAATGATACAGCTGTTAAACAGCAAGCATCTCAAGACAAAGATGGACCAAGTGATACCATGATTTTAATGCAATTAATCCATTATGGAATTCTAAAAATAATAAAAGAATTTATCACTAAGTTTGTATAGAATAGTATTATTAACTTTAGATCAACAAACCAAGACTGGTTCACGTAACATTTTATTCACAAGTAGAAAAAGTATTACAAAATGATTTATACACGATTTTAATTTACATTCCTTAAAGGAGCATTTAAAACAGCACTGTAAGTTCCTAGACATGGTATGTGGGCAGTCGAAATGCAATGGTACTGTATGTTTTCTATTGGCATGTACAACATCGCTTGCCACAAGCAATATAAAAAAGACCTATTTGGTTAAATTAAAGAAAAAAAGTATATACACAATATACACGTATATTTAAAAAGCACTCTCTTCATTGTCCCCTCTCAATTTGCTCTCAAGCTATCTGTCACTCATTTGGAGAAATTAGTGTTTTTCTCCGTAGTTGCCAGACAAAAAACCTTATACAAAGTGTAAATTCCAATGGAAAACATACTTACTGTGGCAGATATCGGCAAAACTTTTGAACTTTACATTTAAAGAACTGTTGTTATTAGCGAAAGTTAAATCTCCTCGTGTTCTAAAAATATCTCCCTCTATACTGAAATGCACATTGGATTTTTTCTATTTACAAAGTATATACAAAGAAGCACACATCTCTTCATGCACATGTAGTGAAAAATATTGTCATATCTTAAATGTATGAAAGTATCCAAAGAAATAATTCAAACCTGCTCTTATTTGAATATATATGTTCCAGTATTTAGCTGACTAATTGTACTCCCTTTATAACTGCATATTATTCTGCCAGTGACCAAATGGTGCTATTTACTACTTAAAAAAAGAAATCACTTACATAATTTCTTCACTCCCTTTGGTCTGAATTTGTTAACTGTACACATGATTTCTGCACACATGAATGTTCTCACTGGTGAAGAGCTGAAGCATTTTACTGCCTTGGCTGCCTACACTGGCTTCAGCTATTCTTGTGCAGGTTCAACCTTCTATTGCATGCTTCAAAGCAAAAGTGTTTTTCCATTATGGAATATGAATACTGTCTCAACATTTCCATTGCCACACAAACCATGTGTGGAAAGATGAGTAATATTTATTGCAAATTTGCATTTGTTTTGCTGATTGCTTTGCTTTTGTCAAGGCACATTGGGTACTTAAAAGAATAATTGCTAGAGTTCATCACTGACAAGTTGGAGCCTGTTGAATGTAATGAATCAGTAGAGGTTATTGGGATTACTCACAGAACTGAGAACTATTTTAGGGATAAAATGGCTTCAGGAAAAAATGGTATTATGGGATAGGGTGCAACAAATTGCGTTTAAAGAAATCTTAATAGCAATGAAGGCAGAGAGCTGACACTGCTAGGCATGCACACAACTTTGAGGATTCAATTCAGAGGTTTTTTTTGTAAATGTTATGAAGCAGTTTTCGTATTTTGTGCTGCAAAAACGAATCTACACAATACTACAGACAGAAGGTAGAGTAATGTGGATGAATAGGTCTGCTAAATGAAAGAATTAGGTCAACATGAAGCTTGACCCTTAAAAACAATGCATTACTAAAAAATATTAGTAATAGTCTCCTTGAATGAATACTTTCATGGCACCTCCTATAGACTAGCATCTTGATGTGACAGTTGATTACATTTATTTCAACATCTCAAAATTACATGCTATAACAACAAGTGCTGTATTCCAATACTGAGACTACCAATTAAACATAACAACTCTATCTCTATGGCTGACTTTCATTAAACTAAATCTAATTTAAAGCTAATCTCCTGCTATATTTAACAAAACAATGCCTCCTTCACAAATGTAATAATTGGATGCAGGGGACTTCAAACATACATATTGTAACATGCAAATTCTTTAACTCCCCAAACTAGCTTATTGACTATAATGTAATATATAAGAAAAGCTTCAGTTTACCAATAGATGATTCTTACATAAATAGAAATGTTTGTTTTCATAAGTCAAGTCCTTCAGCAGCAGGAAACTGATTTAAAATTAGAACAAACCAAAAAAATCCTAATGCATGCATGCATAGATCAATTTTCAGGGTTCTCCTAGGATGCTCCTTGAAGTTTCACTTTACAGCTGTTGCAGCTCAGATGCAACTGCTCAGAAGGTGTGAAATAATGCCATTTTTTTCCCATCTGGTTTTAAAACCATGCAACATTGAAGGCTGGACTAAGTTTGATGAGAATCAGCAGAGAAGCATAAGGGACATGTTCATCTTCACTGCTGAGAGGCATAGCTTGGTTTCCTAAAACAAAGTGATAGAACAGTGATTACATAAGCTCATAAAAAACCTTTATGTACTTCTGCAGTTAACTAAGCACTAAAAAATTCAGCTTGCTTACTGCTTGCTGTAAAAATTCACCTAAACCTAAAGCTGAAACCTGTAGCAAATTGTTACTTACTTTGCAATACAATAAAACAAGAAAGTATGGACCTACGCAAGACTGCAATGCATCCACATGTACTAAGATAAAGGGCAAACTGTGCCGTCCTATCCCGTCCAGTCCCCACCCCTGTCCCCCCCCCCCAGTTAAAAGGGGCAAACTGAGGTGAAAGAATTTTCTTGAAGTTGTGCAGGTGGATAGAGTTCAGCCTGAAAATACATCTCAGGCAAGTCTAGTCCCTGTCCTCAAACACTACTTATATTTCTCCATTAAAGATGCATACATAATGATGAACTGCAGAGTCCAAATATGGAGAAATTGTACAAAATAAATTGGTGAAATCTATTAAAGACAAAATCATGCAGAAAAACCTAAATCTCCCAAACCATCTTGCTTATTCAGAATGATACACAAATCTCAGTAGAACCACCACACAGCCTTCTCTTCCCCAGGCGGAACAGCCCCAACTTTCTCAGCCTGTCTTCATAAAGCAGGTGCTCAAGCCCCCTGATCATCCTTATGGTCTGCCTCTGGACTTGTTCAAACAGTTCCATGTCGTTCTTTATGCTGAGGACACCAGAACTGCGCACAGCACTCCAAGTGAGGTCTCATGAGAGCAGAGTAGAGGGGCAGGATCACCTCCTTTGACCTGCTGGTCACGCTCCTTTTGATGCAGCCCAGGATACGGTTGGCTTTCTGGGCTGCGAGCGCACACTGCTTTGTGCTTTGCCCAAGTCCAGGTAGATGACACCAATTGCTTTGCCCCTATCTATCAGTTCTGTAGCCCCATCACTGGAGGCCAGCCTCTATTATGTATCAACCTCTGAAGCTGGTACATGGTTTAGTGGGAAAAAACCCACAAGCTTTTGAATTTTTAATCTTGTTAATATAGAAATATATTCCTTAAAACATCAGGAGAGCATTTAAGTTCCACTGAGAACTGCTGAAAAACTGGGAACTCACAGCATTAAGATTTTCAGTCATAGCCATGTCACGGTCCCTTCCTATATGTACCTAGAGAATACAGCTACCACCTAATGGTATTTGGCATATTCCAAAATGAAACTATGACAATTGCTATGTGACACATGGTCAGTTAGTACCAGACATTGTTAGAGGCAAAACTGTCTATTGTAAATAATCTATTGATAAAGAAGTGTATGACTAGAGAGCAGACTTCGGCCTCTTCAGGAACCTGCTTAGTAAGGTTCCATGGGATATAGCCCTAGAGGGCAGGGGGGCCCAAGACCCTTGGTTGATATTCAAGGACCATCTACTACAAGCTCAGGAATGTTGCGTCCCAACTAGAAGGAAGTGCAGCAGGAGGGCCAGGAGACTAGGCACAACGTGGGCCCTCTCTGGAAGCTGTCAGGAGAACTGGCTACCCTGGATTTGGAGAAGGCTGAGGTTCTGAATTAATTCTTTGCCTCGGTCTTCACTGGCAAAGGCTCTGACTGCACCACCCAAGTCTTGGAAGGCAGACACAGGGACTGTGAGAATGAAGATCTTGGGCCCACTGTGGGAGAGGATCTGGTTCGAGACCATCTTAAAAATCTGAACGTGCACAAGTCTGTGGGTCCTGATGAAATCCATCTGCGGGTCCTGAAGGAGCTGGCAAATGAAGTTGCTGAGACACTGGTCATCATATTTGAGAAATCATGGCAGTCAGGTGAAGTCCCCAACGACTGGAAAAAGGGAAATATAACCCCCGTTTTCAAGAAGGGGAAAATGGATGACCCAGGGAATTACAGACCAGTCAGTCTCACCTCTGTGCCTGGCAAAATATTGAAGCATATTCTCCTGGAAGGCATGCTAAGGCACATGAAAAACAACAAGGTGCTTGGTGACAGCACTTCACTAAGGGGAAATCCTGCCTGACCAATTTGGTGGCCTTCTATGGTGGGGCTATGGAACTGATGGACTGGGATAGAGCAGTTGATGTCATCTACCTGGACTTGTGTAAAGCATTTGACACTGTCCCACACGACATCCTTGTCTCTAAATCGGAGAGACATCAATTTGATGGATGGACCACTCTGTGGATAAAGAACTGGCTGGATGGCCGCACACAAAGAGTTGTGGCCAATGGCTCAGTGTCCGGCTGGAGACCAGTAACGAGTGGTGTCCCTCAGGGATCGGTGTTGGGACCGGTCTTGTTCAACATCTTTGTTGCTGACATCGACAGTGGGATTGAGTGCACCCTCAGCAAGTTTGCCGATGACACCAAGCTGTGTGGTTCGGTTGATACCCTGGAGGGAAGGAATGCCATCCAGAGGGACCTTGACATGCTTGTGAGGTGGGCTGATGCCAACCTCATGAAGTTTAACCATGACAAGTGCACGGTCCTGCACCTGGGTCAGAGCAATCCCAGGCACAGCTACAGGTTGGGCAGAGAAGAGATTCAGAGCAGTCCTGTGGAGAAGGACCTGGGGGTGTTGGTTGATGAGAAAATGAACATGAGCCGGCTTCAGTGTGAGCTTGCAGCCCAGAAAGCCAACCGTATCCTGGGCTGCATCAAAAGGAGCGTGACCAGCAGGTCGAAGGAGGTGATCCTGCCTCTCTGCTCTGCTCTTGTGAGACCTCACCTGGAGTATTGTGTGCAGTTCTGGTGTCCTCAACATAAAAAGGACATGGAGCTGTTGGAACAAGTCCAGAGGAGGGCCACGAGGATGATCAGGGGACTGGAGCACCTCCCGTATGAAGACAGGCTGAGAAAGTTGGGGCTGTTCATCCTGGAGAAGAGAAGGCTGCGTGGAGACCTCGTAGCAGCCTTCCAGGATCTGAAGGGGGCCTATAGGGATGCTGGGGAGGGACTCTTCATTAGGGACTGCAGTGATGGGTTAAAACTTAAACAGGGGAAGTTTAGATTGGATATAAGAAAGAAGTTCTTTACTGTGAGGGTGGTGAGGCACTGGAATGGGTTGCCCAGGGAGGTTGTGAATGCTCCATACCTGGCGGTGTTCAAGGCCAGGGTGGGGAGAGCCTTGGTTGACATGGTTTAGTGTGAGGTGTCCCTGCCCATGGCAGGGGGGCTGGAACTATATGATCTTAAGGTCCTTTCCAACCCTAACTATTCTATGATTCTATGACTTAGATAAGGATGATATTTTCAGCGATAAAAGTAAATTTTCCCGGTGATATAGAAGTTCCACTGAAGTCAATGGCAAAAAACCTCTTGACTTAGCAGTCTGTTTACCTCCTTTTCCTCCTCTTCCTCCTCTTGAAAATATCACCTGAAGAATTAAGGCTTGATTTACAAAGAATTAACTAACAACTATTGCACTTACTTACATGTTTTCAGAACATGCTTTTTTTTAAATACTAATTACTTTCTACTTCTGTAAGAGCAATATGAAAGTGGCATGTAAACCAAATGGAAGAGGATCAAAGGAAGACAGTTTCATTTCTGCAGAAGACCTAAAATGTTCATAATTACAGTTAGTGTAATTTTCTTAATTAAGTTTGATGGATTATTAATAATATTAGTGGCAACTGCTTCTGTTCCTGCCTCTGTGTATATGCACAGGAGACTATTTCAACTTTCCAGCTGCAGCCTGCATAAACCTTAAGTAACAACACCAGTACATGCCATGATTTGGGATCTTTTTTCAGATTAGGTTTTTGTTCCAAGTTACTTCCAATAGTAGAAAATGCCATTTGAAAAATACAGAGCACAGCTAATATTCAAAAAGATATAATGATGAAGCAGTAGCTGTCACTGTTATATGCTAGAAAGGATTGTTTATAACTTCTTTTCATTCTGACCTTGGACCTGCATTTTCTCTGAGCTTTTATAGATTAAATTATATTTTATGGACAAGCTTCTAGAATGTTTTTTCTGATGACATGGGAATATGAATGGCATTAAAATGCATTAAAGATTCTCTCTTCTGTTTATGTTACTGCTGTAGTAACTTCACACAGAAGATAAATATTTTTTGATGAACACCTGCATGTCTTTTATGCTTTGTTTACAATGAACAAAGACAAGTCTTCAGTTCTTCCCTCATAAACAAGGACTAGCCTCACATAATAGTTCAGTCATAAGGCTATTAAGCTGATTTTTCTCCCTGAATTTCAATGAAAAAAGCCCTCAATCTGATAAAAGCTGACTGGTGTTAACTCGCCCCTGCATTCTGGTTTATACTAATCATATAGTTTGAGTAATTACACCTTAAATCAATGATTCAAAATGTGAAACTGTTGAATGTCTTGTAGAGTTTTAATTCATTTCAACAATAGCTAGGTGTAACTTGTAGAGAAACATAACCCTACAATGTTTTACCATTCTATTTTTATCTAGCAGTCCATGTCTTAAGTACTCATTCTCACTCCTTTGTAGTTATGGATTTTACCTCTTTATCAGTCTGTAGAGTCATTTTCTGTTCCATTATGCTTTGTCTTTGGCTGGGTTTCAGCAGCCTCTGCGTTCCGAAGTGATGAAACTTCTATGCATGTTCTATGTTTAGAGATTTCAAAGGACTTTGCAACATTTCCATCAAGAGACTTAGCTGAAATAAGTACTTCACTCAGTTCATGGTCATTATCCAGCTCAACAGTGGCTGCATTTTCAGTCTCAGTACTGCACAATTTTGCAGATCCTCCAGCCAGTTCTGAATATGATTCACAGAAAGAAATGCTGTCACAACAAGCTGAGTTTTGCATAAGAGGCCAAGCATCTGGAATGTCTCCACAAGTAGAGTGTGAAAGAGATCCAAGGAAGGTAGGAATCATTTCTCCAGTAACAGAATCAGAAGCCCTGCAAAAGGATATAAGACACATGGTTTCAAGAACATTCAAGAAAATATTATCAGTATTGTAATTATTGCCATTAGTAAATACAGGTATTTCACGTAAGTTTATCAGGGTCATATTATGTTAATGCTCTAGAGGAATCCTGTACAAACAAGTTCATTTGAAAAAATACAGTTTGTTCCTTGTCTGTAAATGAAGAAAGCTCTAGAGAACACTACTTGAGGTAAAGAGGATGCCTAGAGACCTTCATACTGTGAATTCAGGGTTCTAGAACATACGAACTGCAGTTCAGGTTGTCAGAACAGAAATAAGATGAAAAATATTATAGTAGTGTTGAGATACAAGGACTGTCGTAAAAAGGTATTTATTTGTTCTCAGTGCATGGTGGGGTGTTAAGATAAGGTATAACAGGCTTAAGCTGCAGCAAAAAAGATGTTTGGGAAGACTGTGGAATCCCCAACACCAGGGTTTTTCTCAAAAAAGAACCCAAACCCTTCAGGATAAACAGATATCTAATGGAGTAAAAGAAGTAAAGGGGGTTCAGACTGGAAGAAGGCAATAGACAACAAGACTGCTTGAAACTCCTTCTGTCTGTGATTTCACACTGAACATGCCTTTACTTTAGACTTTTCAGTTTGTTCTGTCCAGCCTTCAAAATGTGAAAAGTTTTTTTCCTACTCTCTTTCATGTGGGAAGGACATAATACTAAAGAAGGGCAAGGATTTTTAATTCTCATGAGAGTTAATTTTAGTTTACTTGGAAGAAAGTGGAAGTAGAAACTCAGTATTATCTATCTCAACTATATTTAAAGTCCAGGATGCTACTGACATATAGAGTGCTCTATACATGCCTATGCATCAAAAGGAGCGTGACCAGCAGGTCGAAGGAGGTGATCCTGTCCCTCTGCTCTGCTCTTGTGAGACCTCACCTGGAGTATTGTGTGCAGTTCTGGTGTCCTCAACATCAAAAGGACATGGAGCTGTTGGAACAAGTCCAGAGGAGGGCCACGAGGATGATCAGGGGACTGGAGCACCTCCTGTATGAAGACAGGCTGAGAAAGTTGGGGCTGTTCAGCCTGAAGAAGAGAAGGCTGCGTGGAGACCTCATAGCAGCCTTCCAGTATCTGAAGGGGGCCTATAGGGATGCTGGGGAGGGACTCTTCATTAGGGACTGTAGTGATAAGACAAGGGGTAACTTAAACAGGGGAAGTTTAGATTGGATGTAAGGAAGAAGTTCTTTACTGTGAGGGTGGTGAGGCACTGGAATGGGTTGCCCAAGGAAGTTGTGAATGCTCCATCCCTGGCGGTGTTCAAGGTCAGGTTGGGGAGAGCCTTGGTTGACATGGTTTAGTGTGAGGTGTCCCTGCCCATGGCAGGGGGGGTGGAACTAGATGATCTTAAGGTCCTTTCCAACCCTAACTATTCTATGATTCTTTGATTCTATGATCTGTTGAAAGCCCATTAATGTTTTTTTACTGTAGTATACTAAAATAAGTATTAACAAAACCAAAGCAATATAGTATGTTTTACTTCCAAAACCTGCCTACAGATTTATAAAACTGTAAAGGCTACATGGAGCCTGATATACAGTAATAATTTGTGTGGCATAACTTCTCCCATATTAACAATGCCTGTAATTGATTTTAAGTTGCCTTACTCATTTCCAAAACAGAATGCTTTAATAGCTTTGATATACACCAAGCACTTTCATAGATGAGGGCAAAAGTCACAACATCACACCACAATTGAAGGAAATACATTATTCTGGCAAAGGAAATTGGAGCAGACTCTATTTGTACTGGGAGGAACCATGAGATCTTTGATATCCACATACCATGAATATAACATTTATTTTTAAAGCCTTAACCAAAAGATCCCTCACAAAGTACACAACTCTCAATTTGTCAGCCTCAGTGGTATAAAAGGATGACTCAAGCTTGCTGGTGTTTAAACAAGTTTTTATAGAAAATCTAAGTATTTTGTATTTTGTACTTAGGTCACTGAGTCACCTTGCATAAACAATACCTATGAAGAAGCTGCCTCTACGTTTTTAGTTACATTTGGCCTTAAGAACAAAACAGCTGGAGACCAATTTAAACCTTATATGGAAATCTATTCCAGCTAAAAGAAATAAATACATCCTGTGTTAAATTCTGTACTTAGGAAACTCTGGATGACACCGTAAATTTTATATATTTAGCTCATGCCACTGCTGTAGAAATAACTACTCTACTACTCTATTTATATTCAGCTGATCAGGAGAAAATAATGGTTACAGTCCGGTAGAAATTCAGAAATACTAGATATTTCAAATCCCACAGTCAGTAGGAGTTCCTATAAAAAGAAAGTCTTCATGACACTTCTAAACCTCACCTTAACCCCCCCAGGTTCACAAGTTTACGCAGCACCTTGCCAACCCATAGCAGAAGAGAGGGTCACCAAAGCCTCTAAGGTACCACACAGTAATTCCACTGCAAACAGCCACTGTATCTGTATAAATATTAATCTGACTGCATAAAAAATATTTAAAGTTTTATAGACATTTATAAAACTAAGTTACCTTTCATTAAGTGTAGTCTGTGAGTGGAAAGCACAATTGTGACTGCTGTGCTCCATGCTACAGGTTTCATCACAGCACAGTGATGGAATCAAGTGAACTGGTCCTAAGGAATGAAAGTTATTTAACAATGATGTTGAAAGTGTTACAGCTCTGTATATTCAGTCTCTGTCCTCCCTCAAACTTGGTTATTAGTTTACCAGTTACACTAGAATATATGGGTTGAAGAATGATCTTTCTTATTGCAAAAAAAATGGGTTCTTTAATTTATTACTTTAAAATAAAATTACTTGTAAAAGTCAAGCCCTTCCTCCAGCTGTAATATAGATGTCAGTCATGAGTATCTACTTTTTAAATTGATTTGTATTTCAATTGGATACACGAGAAGAACTACCACATCTCTTGAGTTAACGTATTAAAATTGTATTTGTGTTAAATTATGTAGTTGTTGATGTAATAAATGCATCTTTTCTGATACAAGTTCATAAAATCTCAATGATTTTCAATTGTTCAGGTTGTTAATGTCCTTCAGCATTCATATCATGTTCTTAGATACTGCCTGGTAAATCCTTGAGACTAATTTAAGCCTCAGTGCCAGATGCAGTGCTATTTTTATCTGAAAGAAATGAGATAGGCATGTAAAGCTTGGGGTGTTTTTTGGTTTTGTTTTTGATTTTGGTTTTTTTTTAACTGAAGGGTCATTGGAATGAAAACAGGAAAAAACATAACCAAATAGCTACTTAGGAATTCTACCTGCTTATTGAGAAATTAGCTTAGGACAAAGGGTAGTTTGACTCTATTAGCCCTGTAGTTGAAGTTCAGTGTCACAACTCTAGTGTTAGATATATGTTCATCGTGGTATAAAGTCACCTTTTAGTAGACGTAACATACCGCATGTCTGTGATGCGCTTCTCTGGCACTGACAACACGTTCTGTGGTCATATTCGTTTAGCCGTGGTCTGTCAAAACATGACAATTCAGAGCCACTGTAGTGAATGTCTTGTGATCTCAGAGACCCTTTGGACAAAATGAAGAAAAACATATATTAGTAAATGATACCCTTTTCCCTGTTCAGAGCCTCCTATCTTCATAGAATGCCTAAATGTCACACTGAACAGTATTTCTATGCATCCTTCAACTGAAAGATCCACAACAATCATGCAGTTTCATGTAACGCAAACCACAGATTTTACAACAAACCGTAGAACAGCTGGTTCAACTACAGCCACTTCTAGCAAGACATCTGCTCTTATTTTGATGATTTAAGAGTATATCTGTTACATTTTCTCAGTGTTTAACAATTCTCAGTGATTCCCATCTGAAATTTTCCACATTGAGCTTTCAGCCACTGGGATTTTGTTTATGTTATCTTAAAGAGCTATATATTAACAGCAGAATTCCTTTATCTGTATAATTGTAGGCCAAGACAAACGAGTTACTGAACTTCACTAACTGAAGTTTGAATTCACTATGTCTGAATTTCTCAAAATTTGCATCGTAAAACTTCTTCTAAGATAGGAACAAGTCTTCCAATGCCTGTCTCAATCTATTTTTATTGTGCTGCACACAGTGATATAAATCTTGTTTGATATCCACAGTTCATTAGGTGCTATAAACATTTTAAGAGAAGATTTTAAAAATGATAAACGGGAACTAGAGTGCTTTTGACTTTTTCTTATTTTAAATTAATGGGCAGAAAAATGTTCATTATAAACAAACTGATTTACATTGATGAGCTGTTATGGATTTTTTTTTTTTTTTAATTTACAAATCTAACTGGCTTAGGCATCTAAGTCATCTTAATTATACCCATAAAAGCAAAACTGTTAATGACAAATCTGCTATCTAGACCAGCCACATTCAGTATCTTGATGAACTAATCTGTTTCACAATAGGTTGTGATGCACAGATCCTCCAAGCTGCTATTTCCACACTGGCATTGCAACTCTACAATGATATACCAGCTTGCATCCCAAATGGTCCAAATATATCTGTACAGCATCTAAGAAAGTGTGGCAAGGAATTAAAGCAATTGGACTATTTCTGGACATCTGCACAGCATTTTCTCAACAGAAGCTGGAACATCCACACTCAATTGGCAAACTTGTATGGAGTCTTGGGCTTCGGCCAGCTTGTTCATCTCATTGTTAACCTTGCTTTAATGCTATAGACTTTTATTTACTTACAGAGAGATCTGCCCAACTAATACCAGTATATGTAAATATTACAAAGAAACAGTAGTAACTGGAAACTCACAGCTTGGTTTCTTCTCCATAAACTGCCTCTTACAATAGATAACACAGAGAATAAGGAGAGCTAAGAGCACAGTTGCAAGGGCACTGCATATAACAGCTGCTAGTGCAGTGTCTCGAGGACTGGAAGCAGTTGAAGGGATCTTCACAAGATTTACTTTGGTAGTACCTGAAACATAATTAAATAATATTTAAGGTGAACTGTAAACATTTCAGGAATATAGTTATGTACATGAAAGTCTGGGAAATAGAAGAGGTTTATATCACAAAAAAAAAAAAAAAGGACATTCCGTGTGTTAATGTTGCACATACAAGCAGATATGAATATCAGCAACCAAAACCATATTTTAAAAATTATATTACAAAATGAATTATGATGAGGGCAGACACACACAAACATATTCTGACTGTCCATGAGAATGGAATCAGATCTTCTCCATGAAAACCAAGACCTCTCAATTTTTAATGTCAGATGATTTTAATATGGAGAACATTTCTTAGTGCATATCTAAGAAAGATGTCCACTAGAGGGAGTCAAAAACACATGAACTTCCCTTAAAAAGGGAAGCTTCCTGAGACCGGAGACCCCCACAGAAGTCCAAATGCTATGAAAGGTATTATTTTGCTGGGTTGTGTATGCCATGACACCATGGTCTTTTCTAAGATCAAATTTAGTATTTCAATTATGCTATCTTTTTTTTATTCAGTGATAGTTTGTTAATACAAATAATACCTCTAGTAAAAATTTGAAAAGATTGACTTTATATCCTTAATAGTAAAGACTTCAGTGATTTTCCTAGCTTTGACAAACATGTAGAAAATGAAAAATCTTTCTAAAGGATCAAAGCTTAAACTACAGCTATTGAAACTATCTTAAATTACAGATGGTCTTTCAAAACAAATTCTTTTCCAAGAGCTTATGAATTTTGATAGCTCATCTATTTCCATCTACTTTGAAGTCCATGTCAATGTTTTATGGGAAAAAGGACCAAAAAAATTGGAGTATTTCTGTGACAGCAAATTTTTTAAAACCCACAAACCATATTTTATTAACTTAGAAGATAAATTGCCTATTTATGCCAGAAAATCTTTGGTTAAAATATAAAGACTATAATTTCCTAAAAAATGCTCCACATAGTCAGAAATTTAAATTAGGAGATGAATGTCTGACAGAGTATATTCAAATTACTAATGAAATTGTACACACATATAATTGATATCTACTGCAATACAGTAACAGCAGGAGAGAACTTTCTGGATTAGTGCAATCAATGGAATTGTATTACTCAGGAATAATTTTCTGAAACAATTATGGTATTCCCTCTACACACACCAAACGTGGGCACCAGAGTTTACAATGTCACGTTGCTCTGTTATAATGGCCAGATTGCCAAAAAGCTAGATATTTTGAAAATAATTCCATCCCATTCTGAGCCTTCAGACCACTTAGCACCAAAGAAAATATTAACTTCTAGGAAACAGAAAATCCAAATTCTTTAAAAAGACACTCAACATGTTAAAGAAAAACAGTTTCTGTGGATTATAGTGTCATGTAGCTGCTGGTAAGTGGGGAAGATGTAATAACGGAGAGGTCAGATCATGGCTGTTATTCAGAAGAAAGAATATTTTGCTGTAAATTTCCCAATTTCAATGTGAAAAGAAACAAGAGTTACTGCATTTACATCTGCTCAAATACTTCTGTTTATCTTTGACTGGTATTATTAATTTCCAGTGTCACATCAAAATTGTGAAAAACAAATTATAGCAGATCTTTTTTATGCCCTTTCAACTTGCCAAATTGGATGAAGTGGAGCTACTGTAAAGTCCAAAGAACTGCCACAAAAATGGTTGAGGGACTGGAGCCTCTCTCCTATGATTTAAGTCTGAGAGAGCTGGGATTGCTCAGCCTAGGGTAGAGAAGGCTCAGGAGGGCTTTTAATATATATAAATCCTTGAAGGGAGGATATATAGTGGACAGAGGCAGGCTCTTTTCAGTGGACCAGAGGCAATGGGGCACAAACTGAAACACAGAAGGTTCCCTCTTAACATCAGGAAACACTTATTTTAACCGTGAACTTAACTAAGCACCAGCACTGATTGACCAGTGTGGTTGTGAGTCTTCCTCCTTGGAGATGCTTAGAAGCCATCTGGACATGGACCTGAGCAACCAGCTATATGTGAACCTGCTTGAGCAGAGGGGGTGAACCAGATGGTCTCCATAGCTCCCTTCTTACCCCAACTGTTCAGCAATTCTGAGTTATTAAAATAGATTAGATCTCAAAACTGAAGTCAATAAAAAGGCTGATGTCTACATGAAGTAGATATATATTTTGAAACTGTGTCCTTGTACTGAAATGTTACCATTTTCATTATCATTGCAGATAGTCCATTATTTGTGTTCCAGATAACAGACTAAAATTCCAGTTTAGGATCTCGGGTACTTTTCCTCTTAAATAATTATTACCTGTCTTTCCCTTTATGTTCTTCTATAATTCCTGTTACTGACAGAGCTAAGTTTTATGAACTCTTTTCCAGATCTTCATTGTTATTTAAAAGAAAAAGCAACCATTGTCATAATCTCTTTGTCATAACTTGAATGCTTTTGGCAGGAGAATCACAATCTTCCAGAGAGAAAACTTTTCACTTAGTTCTAGGATTCTTGCAGCCATAGTTTTAAGTTCATAGTTTTAACAGACTGCAAAAATTTCTGCATGGTATGCGAAGTTCCAGGACATAATTCTGTGAGAAGCAGTAAAACTATATGAAAAAGCTGTCTATACAGCAATGTATGGTGGCTTTGGCGTGAAAATCAAGGACTGTTCTTTGATATCAGGTTATCAATTTTAGTCAACTGCCTGATCTAGCCTTTAGAAGGTTAAAACCAGCCTGGACAAGTATTTACAAACAAGACAATAAAAAAAGTGATCTGAACATCTTCAAATATTTTTATTGAATATAAAGATATATTCATCTTCATATCAATAGACCTACTTGTATCAATGTACCTACCTAAAAGCACTTAACAGTTCTTAGTAATTAGGCCTTCCTCATTAGGAGAAAAAAGAATTGCAAATTTTGAAAGCAAAAATAGAACAATAGTTCTGGAGGTGAAACTGCTATATTTTTGTCATTCATTTGCTCCCAAAATGTATCTATTTACAACTACAGTTACATATTCTGGGAAATTATAAGTGATATATATTTCTTAAGTGCCCATCAGCAATATCCGAACTAGAAATACAGGATTTTATTTTAAACAGGGATGGCAAAAGTTTAAATTTATTTTAGCCTTTTAGATATTTAATATTTCTTTTATTTCGTTGACTTTTTTTTTTTCTTGAGAAAGCAATTATCTATTCCTGAGAATGCCTACCACTCACCTTCAAAGAACTTTTTGGAATAGCTACTTGAGCAGTCCATTGTAGTATAGCTCTAATTATAATGATAGTGATCTTCCCTGCAGAGACCAACATTTCAGAAGTGGATTGCTATTGTAGAAGTGGCCCGTTGGGCATTGCTGAACTGCTTTCAGTGTCACTCAGATATGTATGCATGTTCATAAACAATGTCTCTCTTTTCAGGCCCACAGACTTAATGGTCCCATTTCAGAAAACCAAGGAGGTACATTTTAAACTCACACTTACATCTATTAAATGATTACATGATTAAATTTAAATATGTAATTAAGCACTTTGTGAGTTGGACGTAATACATTCAGGAAGGAGGGAGGTGGTGCACGTTGGTTTATGATTTTGGAAAGCATGTGCATATTATGCATCACAAAAAATATATGTTATTTAAGAAATAGATTTCCTTTTCTAAGTTCCAACACATCCTGGAAATGTGCTAGTTAGCACTAAAGAAGAATTACCCAAAATACCAAGCTATCATCTCCTGCATAATTCTGAGCAGCACACCTGAATATACATTCTTAATTAACCAATAGGACATTGTAATGTCAGTATACGCAAAGGCGTGGTTCTTAGAAGCAAGTAAAGTTTCTGTTAATCCAAGATGGTTACATAGCAGTTACTCAGCTAATACAGAACATATGAATCCCATCTGTATCACTGTAACTTCTGCCAATAAACAGAATAGTTGAATTTTCAGCCCATTATACTAAACAACGAGAGACAGAACAAAATGGAGTAAGACTTCCTTTATCGCTTATTTCATGTTTATTTTCTCAGATTATTATTTTTTTTTAGAACCATGATTAGTTACAGTTACTACTGGAATCAGCATGCCTAAAAGAAAGCTTTCTGCAGTGATAAACCATGTGAAAATAGAACATGTAAAATTTTAAAATGTCTTCCATGGATTTAGTAAATATAAAAGAATAATATAGTAATTACAAAAGTTGAAGAGAATAAAATGTTTGGAATATTATGTTTGGGTTTTCTTTCTTACCATGTCAAATCAAAGCTAACATAAAGAGGGTTTATTCAATAAAATAAAACTAACCCAAACTGCACTTACATAACAATAACATGGTAATATTGGACAGAGTGCCACCTTTTGCAATCAGGATTGAAAAATAAAGATACAGAAGTAAATTAAAATGCTGTTAGTTCCTGGAATGTGGGTATTTCTGGTGAAGAGAGGGGGAAGGAGCATTTGCTTATTGTAAAACGTCCTTGCCCATTATCTTTACATTGATTGACCCAAGCCAGTGGTATCAACCTTAATTTGACAAGAATTAAAGGCTTAGACATACCCTCAAGTTACCATAATTTAACAAGTTACTGCCTGTCAGCTGAACTGCAGTGGCTATCTCTATGTGTGCTCTTGAAAATACAAGTCATTGTGACTTATCTTGAAACTCCTTCGTATTGAAAGAAGTTTAAAAGATGTTTATGTTCACTTAAAAGTAAAAAGGCAGCACCTCTACCTAGTCCCCAGTAAGCAAAATAATGTATTATTTTTAAACATGATGTGTGCATATAATTCAGAAATTCAGCAGACTGCCTCCCTTCTCCTGATCTTTCAAGTAGGAGGTAAGAAACTTCATTAAACATTACTGTTGGAGACTGTGGTAAACACTGGAGAAAGAGTCGCCCAACATCTGTAACAGGACAGCCATTTGCACACATGGCCTACACCCAAAAGTTCATCATGTCAAGCTACATTTTTAAAATGTGCTCCAAGTGCTGACTTTGAAGTCTCTAA